AAAACCCCCCCCCCCCCCTCCCGAGGAAGAGAACGTTAGAAAGTGGTAGAATTGTCCCGGAACAGTGTTAAAAAGCAATTTTCCATCTGTGGCGATCTGGTCAGTTGCTCTCAAATGGTCCCCACGAAAAACCCACAGGCATCGCGGTACGTTGTGTCGAACCCTTTTATTCCCCCACCGCTGTGGGGACGCGCAAGCGAGGCAATTCCAATTCAATCTCTCCGATCGAAAGTCGCGGTGAGCACGAAAATAGGTGCAGAGACGAAGGAAAAAAAAGGAGAGATGAGACAAATATAAAGTCCAATGCCACAAAAAAATACTGAATTTATGTCTACTCCATTCAGCGATGAGGAAATTGGAAAAATTGTTTTAAAAAATCCATCGCACTAAAAGTGCGAAGATGTGATTGAATCAGAGTCACGTGTGTCCCTCATCCCCATGGTACTCACGGGGAAAAAAAATCCAGTGACAATAGATGGCTTAAACGTTGTAGACGTGTCAGCTGTCGAGCGCAGAGAGCGAGAGGCGTACTTGCATTATGATTGACAGTTTTATGGGGATGCCTCTATCGCGCACGTTCGTTTTCGGATTTACGATCTGCACACATTGGTGAGGAAGGGCGGGATTGAACTGACATGGAGGGATAGTGGGAGAGATGGGAAGGGACAGGTTGTCACTAAAATCGTGAATTGCCTCGGGGGTATGGCGCCAGTGATTTTGGACTTCGCGAGGGTCCAGTGTTTGCACACAGAAATTATTGGGAGGTTTACGATGTCTTGAGATCTTCTACGGGGGGACAACATTTGCAAAAAATACCCTAACAGGTCAAGTAATCGCACATTGTTGGAGAGAAATGAAATTTCGTGGACAGTTGACTACTAATTTTCAGGACAGTGAATGCGATTTAGGGAAAAAAAATGAAATTTTTGGTTTCACTCAAAATTCAGTAAAATTCTGGAATTTTGAGCGGCATGAAGGGGAGAATTCCTTAATTTATTTGAATTTCCAAACTAATTTCAACATTCAGTGAAATTTTATGAATATATTTACCAAAATTTTCTGGTTTTCTACTCATTTTCAGGTAAAAACGGAACTGAAATTTACAGTTCTCTGGGATTTTTGCACGGGGTTCTGATTTTTCAATGATGAAATTTCTTGAAATTTCAGTGGTAATTGAATTCGATAACGACTTCCTAAAAAGTATACCGGAAATTTCAGATAAAAATTTCAACTGTGCAGAGCGAAATCCATTTTTAGGTCTTGCTTACGTCTAGGACTGAAAAATCATTGAATTCTAAATTTGCGTTCCCAAATTCAAGTGATATTTAGTGTCTTAAATTGACACATTATGACATGCATTCGAAGCATTCTAAATAAAAATTCTCGGCTGAACTTTTCGATTTCGATCAAGTTCCAGTTGAGTTTAAATTTCAGAAAATTGCGTCAGTAAAAATTCATAATCTGATAGAAAAATCAACACTGCTAAAAATTTTCGTCTGAATTTTCCGTACCAAAGTCCGGAAATTTTTATCGTGTCCAAGTTCCACTGAAATTTCAGGAAATGTGGCCATTGAAAAATCAAATATTCCATTGATTTTCTGTTCAAATGATCTGAAAATCAGTAAAATACTTGATTTTTCAGTTCAATTATTCAGTGAAAATTCATAAAAATCAGGAAAATTTAGAGAAAATTTGAAAATTCATGTGATTCTATTTCTCGAATATTCATGTTCCACTGAAAATTCAATCAAGTTGTGAAATTTCCCTCTCACTCCCACTGAAAACTCAAAATTACATAACCATTTTTTCTCTAAATCCGAGTCAATGTCACTCTCATGAGATTTACTGTAACATTTTCCATAAAAAAATCCCAAAATTTCAAAAAATTTCTAACAGTGAAGTAGACTCCAAATCTTAATATAATTGTTCCACGAAAATGACCATACTCTTACATTTTCAATTAATTAAAAATCTCCTGTTTCACCTAATTATATTCTTCATCCTGCTTTACCTAAAAATTTACCAAATTAATAAAAAAAATCAGAACGAAGCAGCATGTGCCGAGCGCCGTAGAATCCCCCCTTTCCCCACAATATCATCAACACCTTCATCGCTCATCCCCGCAAAGTAGCTAATCAACCCGCACAATACGAAGCCATCGAGATAACCCCGGAAAAGATTGTTATCCCCCAGTAAACGTCCAAATAGAGTGGCAAAGTTACTCACCTCGCAGCTGGTGTGGCTGATATTACTGAGATTGAGCCTGAAGACTTTATCCCTGAAAGCACAAATGAGAAGCCATTATTTAACCTCGAATTATCAGTGACAATATCAGTATAAAAAATAAGGTCACGGATGAATTTTTATCTGTCTCTCCTGCGCGACATTTTTTACAGCCCACTCAAACTTTCATCTCACAATAGGTTACGTATTGCTGTAGTAGCTCGGCCCCGTATGGGGCCCGTACTTCACCCGTTGCCGAGTCAGCGACAAATGCTCGCGAGGGTTGTAGAATTTCTATGAGGCCAGAAGCACCAGGAGAAACGACAGAGGCTGTCTCTCTGGTGGTCGCAAGGCCGTATACTTATGTCATATATACATATATAAAATCCACCGCCCACAGAAAAGTACTCGGCGAAGAGGAGAAGGTAAAACCTTCACTGATAGTGAGTAACGATCCCTTCATTTCCGGAATTGTGCGCAGAAGACGCTTCAAACTTTCATAAGACGTTTCACGGCGGATCCTTCCGGCTCCCGTTCCTATTGGCCACTTCCTATGTGACGTTCGTCCCCTATTCGCTCACGCAATATCACCAGAAAAATCGTCACTAAGTTGTAAATTCACTGAGGAAATAACCGTTCATTATGCCGGCGAAAATCCACGAAAAGTTTGAAATTGTTTACAGTTTCGGAAACCTTGTGTTTTTAGGCAGTTACGATTCCGAACAAATTATTTTTATCGGGAAGAATTGATTTTTTATAAATTATTTATGGAAAATGCTCGTAATTTTCAAAAATTGAACTTTTTGTATTATTTCATCAATATTCCATTGATTTTCTGTTCAAATGATCTGAAAAGCAGTAAAATACTTGATTTTTCAGTTCAATTATTCAGTGAAAATTCATAAAAATCAGGAGAATTTAGAGAAAAATTGAAAATTCATGGGATTCTATTTCTCGAATATTCATGTTCCATTGAAAATTCAATCAAGTTGTAACCCTTGCGAATATCCCTAATGTGGATATCTCGGGCGTATAATTTTTGGTAGTCGGGACTGCATTCGCGCTATAAAAAAAAATAAAAAATTCTAAGAGAATTAGAGTTTGCTTATGGACATAATCCAAAAGCAAACTGTATTTTTTCAGATTTTTAAAATGTTTTCTAACGGTTCAATGTCGAGATTCAAATTCAGACTTGCAAAGCTTAAATAATAACATCTTTATAAAATGTTCGGAAATTGAGGGTCAAATGGGACTCCAAATTTGTCAATTGAATTACGTGAGAAAAATTTGAAAAAAAATCATGAATATTCATAAAACGGTTCGTCTCCCATTCGTTCACGCAATATCACCAGAAAAACCGTCAAAGCTGTAAATTCACAGCGGAAATAACCGTTCATTATGCTGGCGAAAATTCCCGAAAAGTTTGGGTTAGCTTCTGCACAAGGGAGTAAATCAAATTTAGTTACAACTGCTGCAAGTGGATGGGCTTTTTTCCAGCGTTTCGCAACATTAGCCACTGGTGTGCATAACTTTATTCCAATAGCCATTCGTCATATCGGCTTTCAATAGAAAGCCAACGGTGTGGAATAGATGCGCCGCAGCGGTGCCGCCATCTACACAACCGCAGCGCCACTCCGCATAATCCCCCAGTCCCGGACTATTCATTCATTCTTCTTTGGGGTACATTGCCCTCCTCTCGGCTCCACTGTGGCTGTAAAAAGTAAATACTGCCGACACTTTGAAAAAACAAATCCGATTCCTTGGAATTCAGGGAAAAAAGTTTTCGCGAAAACTTTCATGGCTGTACGTGCTCGAGCCGTCGAATGTGTACAGAAGTGAGAAAAATAAAAAGGCGAGGAGAGACGGTGTGCGCGCGCCACCGTGAGTCTGAGCACGGAACCAATTTTACGGGTAAAAACTTGGTCGTGGGGACGCGCATCGATTTCAATTTGGGGGGTAGAAGAACGAGAGATCGAGGAATATAAGGTTGGGGGGGGGGGTGAGGAATTTCACCGAGGTGTCGAGTATACTGAGGGTAAAATTCCTCCATTCCCGGGCAACCCTCTTTACGGGTCACCTTCGTGAATTATAAATAATTACTTTGAGGGAAAAAAAAGAGGGGGAAATGGAGGGAAAGAATTTTGGCCGCAAAAAATCCGGTGATGTTTTATTTAAGTTGTTTTCCACTGCTGAATTATGAATTCTTTTTTCGAATCTTCACGCACAACTCGCGCTGGATAACGTATTCCCTTTGCCTGGGGAATAGTATTCAATTTTCATGGTAATGTTCCTCTGCTCACATCTAGTTTGGAGTGGGTTAGGGCTGGTCTAACTGTTTGGGAAAGTTGGCAGTGAGTGGTCTCTTTCATTGCAATTGACTTTAAAGTTGTTGCGATTACGAACAAATGATTTTGGTGGAAAATTGATTGTTCATAAATTACGTCACTAATCTTTCTCCGAAAGGAAAATTCGGACTTTTTTTAAAGATTTTTACAATGTTTTCTAACGGTTCAATATCGACATTTAAATTCAGACCTTCAAAGTTTAAATAATAAAATTATTGTAAAATGTCCGGACCCCTGGGGTCAAATGAGGCTCAAATGAAAGCTCTGATGTTCGACTACAAATGTAGAAAAACATTTCACTGGAGAAAAAATGGCCGAAGGATTAGCTACAAACCATCGACCATTTTCAATCATCAAATTTGTCAATTAAATTACTATTTTCTAAACATTTTTTATTTATGAATAAATCAATGAAATTATTTAAACTTTCGGAAACCTAATTTTTTAAAGCATGGAATCGATTTCTGACAAAATTCTGAATATGAATAAATTTGTTACCATTCTGAACAAATGATTTTTATAGTGCAAAGTTGATTGCTTATAGATTACAAATTATTTGCAGAAATTGCTCGTAATTTTAAAAAATTCCTCTTTATATTATTTCCAAAAGTAAACTTTCTAATTTCTTTTCAGAGTTTTAAAATGCTTTCTAACGGTTCAATATCGAGATTCAAAATCAGACCTGCAAAGTTTAAACAATAAAATCATTGGAAACTTAGGGTCAAATGTGGCTCAAATGAAAGTTCTGATGTCCGACTACAAAAGTAGAAAACCATTTCACTGGAGAAAAAATAGCCGAAGTCCTTGGATATCCGTCAATTGTTTTCCACTCCTGAATTATAAATCCTTTCTTCGAATCTTCACGCACATCTCGAGCACTCCCCGGCTTTCTCTTTGCCCCGTGAATACTATTCAATTTTCACGGCAGTATTTTCCCTCCCACATGGGAAATCGTTCAGAACAGAGATTCACGTTGGTGAAAAGATAACCTCATTTCTGCTCATCATACCGTGAAATTTGCATCATTCCATTGCGTAGCGAAAAATCAGTACAATTTGCGGTGAAAATAATTTCGCGCATCGTCAAGAAATCTCCATATTTCTCTCACGAATCCATTGTCGGGTTTGTAATCGGTTCTGGGTCAGGGGTGGAAGAATGCCAGAAAGAGAGAATGGAGGAGCACAGGGGCGCCCCAGAGAACGAGGAATAAAAGAAATAACGAGAGAATTCGTTTCATTTTGCCAAGGCAATGTCGATTAACACGCAGCGCACAATCCCGAAGGGTTCTCAGTTTTCCTTTCCCAAACCGTTATATGCCGCCCACCGATAATTGAGGCAACTTCAATTAGCGTTCCTTTAATCGGGAGTGAACTGCCGGAGGCGTACCACAGACTCTGAATACTCATTATCAAAAGCATCACATTTCTAATTAACGAGAAAAAGATCATTAGAGGCGTTCGAGTGGGTACCCGATATTGATTTCAAATGCTCCTGACAGAACTGATTTTCCTCCTTTTGCCGATTGAATTATCAATGGGTGAAAAGATTACTCACTCAGAAATAATTGCCATCACGAGAGTTAACAGAAAATTAAAGAATATATAATAGAAAACTGGTTTTTCTTACCATTTTCATCAGGTTTTTCATAGGTGATGTTTATAATCAGCCCTAGCTTTTAAAGACAATTCTAAATAGCTGTACTACATAGTTTAGGAGATGATAAATAATGGAATAAGGGGTTCAGCACGCGAGGCGCATGCCAAACATGAAAAAATTTAGAAAAATTCAGGAACTCAAACGTGTTTTCAAGAAAAATTTCAAATTTGATTCATCACCCACTGGTTTTTTTTAATAATTCTTTTTTTGGGATATATGTGGGGACATAGTAATTCATAATATGAGAAATAGAATGCAGGATTGTGCTCGCCACACTCGAAAATTTACTAGTTAATATAGTAATTTTGAGAACAAATGGAAAACGACGACTTGCTGGATGAAAACATAGGGCTGACAAAATTAAAAGATGATGGAGTCCGTTCGAAAATTGAGAGTTGCTATTGTAAATAGTAACATAAGAGTTGAATTTTCAATTGAGACGCGTAAAATTTAAGAGAATAAACATGAATTTTTACATCGTCAGTTCGAAAAAAAAATTCTCTTTCTTTCTAAATGAATAGAATTGGATGCAAGTATCATGGGTCAAATACCTGGGTACGGACGTGTTCAGGAATTCATTCAAGATTACAAATGACAATCCAAGTGTTGGAGCACAAGTGAACACACCGAAAAATCTGAAGGTAAAATACGTTTTTGAAATGGTAATTCACGTTTTCAAAAACGTAATTTACGATTTTATGAAACGGGTAACTTACGCTTTTGAGATCGTAAATTACGGTCAGAATAACGTGAATTACGATTTCAAGAAGGTGAATTACGATTCTCAAAAGTAGAAATCAATTCGGTTGGGGAAGCACCCATGAAAATTACAATCTATTGATTTTTTCCTACAAAATATCTTTTCCTAAATACTTCTATTTACAAAAATGCGCAAGAAGCTCAGCTTTTCTCAATGCAGTAATCAATTAAAAGTACTGAAATTAAGTCGTAAAAGTTCTTGAGAGAAAAATAACTTTTCACCAGTGCCTTTGGTACTTGTGAAAAGTACTAAAAGTCTAGCAGAAAGAAGTAATGCTACTTCCCCCGAATGCTATTTCTACTTGATCGGCAGAGGCGGTACTTCCTCCAAGTACATTTTTCTTCGTGTGTATTGTCCTCGATTACTATTCTCCCATGAGAATTCTTAATTTACAATACACAAACGACAAATTTAATTTTTTTTTGAGACCGAGATTTATAAAAAATACGAAAAAAAATCCCAATGACGCAGAGTGAGATATTTCTCCCACGAGTTTTTCAATTTTTACCCATTATTTTGACTTTTCGCGCGAAACACCTCAACAAACTCAAAAGAAAAAAAAAGTGAGAGCGCTTGATTTATAGGAGAGTCAGTGAGATAAACGTGAGCGTTGAAGATCATTGGTAGAACCGTCCCGTTCAGTTTTGGCCTCCCACAGCGAGATGTTCTTATCGGAATTCGATAGCCAAGGGGGAATAGATACCACTGGAGACCTCCGTACTACAGTTGAACATCGGGAAAAGGAGAGAGAGAGATGGTTATAGGTGTGTGAATGGTTTGGGGGTGCGTGGAACCAAGCCAGAAGAGCTGAAAACGTTAAAACCAATGTGGCACTGGCTCTTGCCGCCAAAAGAAAAATGCAATTTATCGTTACCACGGTTGCTCGTTCTCTCAACCCCTTACTCGCCGCTTCCATTCTGGGGTGGTCACAAAAGCTGAAAGAGTTGGTACGGTTTCGAGGGAGGCTGTTGGGGTCTTTTTAGTTTGTCAGTCGACTGTTTCGTTTGGGATAATGCAGACAATTTGACATTTTTCAGAACATTATTTCTTTGCGGGTGTCAATCTGATTGGGATTTCATGAAGAACGGGAGGAAATTTAGTTCGAATAGTTGCACTGTTAAAAAATTTTGTCTGAATTTTTCGTGCCAAATGCCAGAAATTTTTATCGTGTTCCAATTCCACCAGAATTTCAGGAAATCTTATCATTGAAAATTCATAATTTCGGGGAAAAATCAAACAGAACAGTAAATTTCCGTTCCATTTTTCCTTGAAAATGAATAGAAAACCAGAAAATTCTGGTAAATATATTCTTGAGTTTTCAGGACAGTGACACTGAATGCTATTTAGGGGAAAAAATCATGAAATTTCAGATTTCACTGAAAATTCAATGCAATTTGATACTGAATATTCATATTAGATTGGAAATTCAAATAAATTGCGGAATTCTCGTCTTTAAAATTCTGAAATTTTACTGTATTTTCAGTGAAACCTGAAAATTCATGATTTTTTCCCCTAAAAAAATCCAAAATCACTCTCACAAAAATTAATAGCTTATTAACCATGAAATTTCAATTTTTTTTTCTAATACTGCATTATTTACCAAATAATCCAGCAGTCCCTTGCGAATTTTGCTTATGAAATCAAAGAACACACGTAATTGACGAAGTGACTCATTGAAATAGATCCAAAACTTTATACTCCCTGATAACAAGGGTGATCATACAACATCCTACAAGCCACTTCTGTGTCCTAGGGTGCATATCCACCCTGTCCGCACTGTCATTATTGCAGACCAAGAGTATTATTCCTTGATTCAGTACAGCTTCACTATCCTTTGTCGTCTGAGCCCCCCTTAATTTGGTAAATGCCAACAAAATGTTACACACAGCGATGGGTAATAGGCCAAAAGTAACGTCGAGGATGGGGTAGCAGCTCTGCGCCCATGATGACGTGGTGGATACTTGAGACGAGTTGGAGATGAGACCGAGGGACCGGGGATGAAAAAAAATTGATCCCTGAATGGGAGAGGCTCGGGCGGGGAATTAAGCTCGAATTACAATTGATTTCTCCTTTTTTTCGTTGGAGAGAAGAAACTTTTCCCCGGAGCGATTACAAATTTCGAAGGGATGTCTCTGTGGAGCGCATGAGAGACAATTTGGATTCCTTTTTGTAAATGCTGGATGAAAAGGTAGTCAGTTGAGAATTTTTAGCTGAAATTTTCGGTGTACTACGCGGAGAGAAATTTTTGAGACTTTCAAATTCAAACCAAACAGATTATTTTTTGGCAATTTTCAACTAGCGATTTAGTGGGCCCAAACAAGACTTGTTTGACGTGTTTGTTTTTCTCTCAGTGTATCGTTCTAGAAAAGTATTATTCTATGTTAGAGAAATTTTATCCTGATAAAAATGAAAATACCGTGCCGGTAGAGTAAAAATTACTGTATCGGTAGGGAAAAATTTATCAAATTTACAAAATTTCTCTAACGTAGACTAAAATGTGATCGTCATACATTAATTTTAACTAAATTTCGGGATAGAAATAAGGAAACGATGACTCATGACACAATTTTATAGAACGGTAGGATAATTTTTACCAAAAATTTCTCTCCGTGCAGTTGAAAATTCACAATTTGATCAAATGATAAATGGAAATTGTGAATTGTGGGTCAGAATAAGGACCATGAAGGTCATATGGGGTTACAAGAATGGATCCATAAAATACAAAATCCAAACGCACATTCTCTTTGAAATTTGGAAATACTCCTCATAACCCACTCCAATAAATCATCATTTTGGCATTAAATTGTACATTGCACCGAGTTGGATCTTTGCCCTCGTGGGGGTGACAAATAGCGTATACAAGTGGCGTGACAAAGACGCGATAATGCAAAAGCACTGGTATATCGTCTGCCAGGTTCAGAAAAAGCAATTCGCAAAAGTTTACGTTGCGCTTGGCCCGAGCCAAAAAGGACCTAGAGTCAGGGCGGAAAGGCGTGTGATTTATCGGCAAAGTTCGCGCGGTTAATTTGACGAGCGATGGGCTTTACACACCCCCTCCCCCTCTCGTTCCGCTCTCTCTCCCTTTTTCCACGTGTATATATCTCCAACCGGAGAGTGAACTCGCGTGGTTGGTATTTTCTTGCTTCCTAGATTCAGTTCAGGGGGAAAAAGCGGATACACGAGGGGGTATGTACGATGGGAAAACGAATAGGGTTTTGAAGTTGGCTACAGTTGGGATTCAACTCTCCGGAGTCAATGTATTTCAGATAGTGAATGTGAAAAGCTGAGTTTAAAAGAAAATTGTTTTATCGGCGACTTGAATTTGTTAATGGGACACGCAAAAAAAATTACTTTTGATCAGTAGAAAAAGTACTTGTACCCAGTACCAAGGGGTTACTGGGAAAAGGCACATTTTTGTACTTTCTCAAAGTTACAAAACAACTTGATGCAAGTACCATGCATATCATGTAGTACGAAGTACCTCAGTACTTGTCACACGTATTTTGTTACTTAGGAGAAGTAAAAAAATGACTTGTACTGAGTACCTGGCTGGTTCCTTTCAAAGTACCAAATAAACTCAATATAAGTTGAGTATAAGAACTCAAAAATGTTTTTCTACCTCTTCTAAAAACCGAATTTCGTCAAAAAATCAACAATCCAAATAATTCCTCTTTTGTGAGTAATAAAATTGAAAAGAAATTGAAAACAATTTTTCGAAGCCTTTTAAATGTTGATAACAACATAAAACATAAATACCTCTACAAAATTGAAATTTTGCAGGCTGGAAAGCATGCCAATAATTCTCGAAAGCATCCATAAAAATCGCAATCTATTGATTTTTTCCTACAAAACATCTTCTGCTGAACATTTCTATTTACAAAAATGCGTAAGAAAGCCCATTCTATCCGGTGATAATATTCACATAATATTCACATTAATATTCTCAATAAAGTAATCAATTGGATGTACTGAAATTAAGTCTTAAAAGTACTTGAGAGAGGTTGAAAAATTACATTTCACTAGTACTTTTGGTACTTGTGAAAAGTACTAAAAGTACTGGCAGAAAGTAGTGAAGGTACTTCCTCCCAGTACCATTTCTACTCGATCGGCAGATCTTGTACTTCACCCAAGGACTCAAAATGTACTTGGAACGAGTATTTTTAGAACTTTTCAAAAGTGAACTTCCCTCAAGTAGCGGTCGATACCGGTGAGAAGTACTTTTTTTGGGTCGAAATAATCAATTAGGGAATGAGACGAGAGCTATAATTTTCAACATGAATATGTTGACGAGCGTGAAATTAGAGAGTGGTATGCACATGTGAAATTCCCTTATGAGGTGATCGTAAAATGGTGGATTCCAAACACTGAGCTTTTGGCGCACTCTGCCAAAGCTATCAAATTTTTATTACGGCGTGAGAGAGCTTTTGGAGTGATTATCAATCCATAAAGTGTGACAATGTCAGTCATGCCTGCATTTCATGCCTAAGTGCTTCTGTAATTATGGGGTATTTTCGATTTATGGGGATAATATTTGGAGTTGAGTATTATAGGCGATTATCATTGCGTGTGGATTTGTCAATGTAGCGTGATTCTCTTTGGAAAAATTGGTGAAGTGGGTTCTGAATGTCTTTTCTTTATGGCTTTTGTTTCATTTTGTTTTCTTTATGAACTGAAACGGGAAGAAACACGATTTAGTCCAAAGGTTTGACACTGATGATAATTTCAATATTGCGCATAGGATTCGTTGATATTTGCACAATTCTCAATTATTTATTATTCTTATTATTTTTAATTGTTATTGATATTATTATATTTACCATATTTATGATTAATTTTGTCCCATTATTTTTTTTAATCATCTACGCTGACATACGCTGAGAAAAAAAACTTTCGTCGAGTGATTTTTACATTAAAATATTTTAGATTTGAGACGCAAAAACACTTTCTTATCATAAAAAATTACCTGTGCCTTTCTGACAAGCACAAAATCTCTTGACGAAAATTTTTATTTCTCAATGCAATACTTCGTTTGTTGTCAAGTATAATTTTCTTTTATTCAATGCGAATGTGTAATTTCTCTAAGTGTATCAATTGTCATGGAGAAAAGTCATGAGTACTCACATGGCTCCAACGTATAAAGTGTCTCTCTTGCTGTCCAGGTACAGAGTCCTGTAGTACAGCATTCCGCAGCTGAATTCCCGGACATGTTCTGTAAAAAATACAAAATGACAATCGAATTAATTTCAAGTTCAATGGAACATCAGATTTTATTTTTCAGATAACGTATAATAAAACTGTTCTCCGTCCCAAAAGAAGCAATTACGGTATGAATATAATAATTGCCTCTGAACCCACTTAGTGCAGTCCTTCAGTCTCGAGTCAAATATCCTCTCCCCCTTGAATAAAGATCCAAAGTGGATTTCTGAAAGGGGATGGAAAAATTGAAATAAGAAACTCTTCAAATGAGAATGTGTAGAAGAATCTAAATCCCCCGTTTTAATTAGTTTTCTTTGTGAATGAAAGCCGACAGCGATCGAATTATCAATAAGATTTTCACTGAAGTTTGTATTTTATGCATTTGATTTTTGTTTGAAGGTATTTCCGTGAAGATACTAGAGTGAGGGCACGAGGGGAATGACGAGATGCTGCGAATTCTTGTAAAAAACATTTTAGAAATAATTTCTTTCGGTAAATCTCTGAAATTGACCACCAAAAATCAACTCATTCAGGGTGATAGATGTTCTTAAATTGAGAAAATTCGAATGAGATGAAGTTCTGGAGTAATTGAACATTAATTCAATATTAATTGAGTGACGATATCCGGTGAGATGTTTAATAATTTACTTGAAACATGAGTAAATTAGTTTTAGAACAGGAAAAATAATCAATAAAAGAGCGAGAATGTTCTCAATTTAAGAATCAAGGTTTCCTTAAAGTAATTAAATCTCTGGTCTTGATTCTTTTTTTATCATCGATTAAATATTGACTGCAGTTAATAATTCAGTCTTTTGATCTTTGCTTGAAGACATTTTCATCAAGATACTAGAGTGTGAGTACAAAGAACATGAAGAGCTGCTGCAGACACCCGGGAAACTGATTTTAAAGATAATTTCGTTGAAACAATCTCTAAAATTGAGAACCAAAACCCATTTATTTTGAACGATTGATGTTCATAAAATGAGAACATTCAGACTGGCTAACGAGCAAGATTAATGAAACATTCAATCAGTATTAATTGAGTCATGACATCGTGTGACATACTTTAAGAATAAGAGTCATGTATTGAATTCAGACATTGAGTAATAAATTTCAGAGATATCTCGAAAGATAATTAAGGCATGAATAAATTAATTTCAGAACATGCAAAATAATCAATCCAAGACAGAGAATGTTCCCAATTTAACAATAAAAATTCCCCTAAAGTAATTAAATCTCTCGTTTTGATAGATTTTTTTGTAAATGAGAGCCGAGAGCGATTAAATCATCAATAAAGTATTGACTCCAGTTAATAATTCATTCTTTTGACATTTCCATCAAGATACTAGAGTGTGAACACAAAGAACATGAAGAGCTGCTGCAGACACTCGAGAAACTAATTTTAAAGATAATTTTGTTAAAACAATCTTTAAAATTGAGAATCAAAACCCATTTATTTTAAAAATTGATGTTCTTAAAATGAGAAAATTCAGAATGTTTAACGAGCAAGATTAATTAAATATTCAATCAGTATTAATTAAATCAAGACATCAGGTGACATACTTCACTGAAAGATAAAGCTCTACCGAAAAATTACATATTCCAGGTGAGAATATTCGATGGCTCACAAGTAAATTTATTCAACACACCAAAAGATCTCTTCAGATTACGATTATTTTAAGCTTTCCTCAAAATAATCACAATCTTTTTGTCACTTCCAAGCGGCAGAGAAGTGATAATTCCCCTGATTTTTTCCTCGAAGACATTAACAACAAAGAAGATGAAGCCACCACCCCCGAGATCAATTTTCAAGATAATTTTTTGTCTTTTTCATCTCCCGGTAACCACCCGGAACATCTCTCTAGTGGAGCATTAAATTTACCAGCGAGCATTTACGCAAGCAACTCCGACTCAGTTTTGGAGGTAAGAGGAGTGTGCAAGAACCCTCCCGCCGACACTGATCTGCTTAACATATGAAAGAAAAGTCACCCCCTTATAAATATAGTCGTTCCACTCCAGGCTAACAGAGCGCGAACAATGCCATATATTATATGGTATCAGAGTGGGTGGGAGCCAAGGGGGAGGGGAGGGGGGGGGGGTTGAAGAGAAAGGGGTTCTGTATTATGGAACTAACCAAAAGCCCATCCCCCCTCATTTATGCACACTTCACCCTTCTCTTGTATTCATTCTACTCGGTCTTCATTGCCGTTTGCTTTTTTATCACTTCTATGGATAACCCTCTGAAATAACACACTGGGAGTATAAACCTTTTGATGATAGTTGAATGGACTCAAACAGTGGGTAATTGAAGTTTTCGGGATTTTATGGTTTATTTAATGGGTTAATTTTTATTAATGTCGATTCTGATTGCATTCCCTAGTAGAAATTCTACCTGAATCTGCGAGATTCAATAGGCTTCATAGGGTTCATTGGAATATCAAGTACAAAAAGTGTCGGTGAGAGAAAAAATACAGAATTATTATTGTTATAGAGCTAGCAGTTTACTTCACTCAGTTTATTTACGATTTATGATTGTAAATATCTCCGAATCTAAGGGAGATGGCGCAATTTTCGTAATCACCTTTTTCGTAGCTCTCAGTTCTATCCAAACAAAAGGTTATAGCAAAAAATTTGCTATCTGCCTTAGATCCCGAGATATCCATTGAAAACTGACCAACAGTCAAGATCGACTTGAACCGTTTTGTCGCTTCCCTCCTGAATAATTTCCATTAGTTCCTCAATTCTGATTTCAACCAATCAGACTGCAGTACTCGGGGTCATGCAAATCCTTCAACCTGCCGCTGGAGAATAAATTGAGAAACTCTTTATTCGACTTGAGACACCTCCATCCTAGATTATGAATCCCTCCTCCTGCCCCGGTCGAGACTCGAGTGTGCGTCACTTCGGGGATGTCGACGGACATCCCCGAGATTTATGCAACACCCCGGAGTGATCATTCTTCCCCCGGTGTATCAAGTGGAATTTTCTCCAAACTCGATATAGGTGATTCCTCCACGGTTGAAGCGAGAGATAATATCAGGATTCCACCAACAGGACAGTGTGGAAGAGTGGATGGCAAAGAAGTGAGTGGAGGGGCTCTGGATATCGTAAGACGATAAAAGTGTTCGATAGATTGAATCGTAATCCCCATCGGATCTTGTTACCCCATGGTATATCACCGCACGTGTCTTAACTCGAGAAACGGGGACAATTCGGTGTCATGTGCTGCAAGCTTGTACACGGGGGTAATGGTGGAGTAGAAATTACCCTTGTTTTTATGAAAAATCTGTGGCTGAGAACAAAAATTCGTGTGCACTGCCCGGAATTTTCATAACAGAGAAATTTCGGATATTTTATTATCGGATTTTTTAGGAATTTTTTTATTCCGTTAGACGGACCTCGCTTTTCCACTTAATTGCTGTAATTGACAGCTGTATTGATTTTCCAATATTATCTTTGTAGTGGACGTAAACAGTATTTCAATCACTCCCCCTAGGTTTTGTCCTCTACTCGCTCCGCTGGCTTCTCCCTCTCGGTGTTGATCCTTGTTTTGACCTTTTAGATACTTATTTTTACCCTTCTAGGCCCTCATTTTAACCTCTCCAAACCCTTATTTTGGCCCTTTAGATTGTTACTCTTTCAGGCCCTTATTTTAACCTTTTTAACCTTTTCAGACCCTTATCGTTATCCTTCAGAGTCTGATTTGTACCCTTTCAAGCCCTTATTTAAACCTTTCCAGACCCTTATTTCGGCCCCTTAGATTTTTACCCTTTCAAGCCCTCATTTTAAACTTTCCAGACCCTCATTTTGACCCTTCAGACTCTCATTTTGTTTCTTCAGACCTTTCCTGACCCTTCCTTGAACTCTGATGAACCTAGGGTCACAAATAAAAACCAGAAATTAAGGTCACAAATAAGGACCAGATTAAGAGTAAAAATGAGGGTCATAATGAGCATCAAAATAAGGTCAAAATTAGAGTCAGAATCAGGATCACGATAAATGACGTTCAGACTTAGGGGTGTCCTCTCAATTTTAGGAAGCTGATAGTATATTTCGATATAAGTGCATAAATACCGTATTGTGTTACTAGTGCGTAAAGTGAAATTTTACGCACGCTTTGCATGCGCAAAATCCCACTGCACATTGTGATGAAAAATATATATCATATAATAAAATTTTCATACAGCATCACAGGTCGAAGCGATGCAAAATAACGATAAAAAAAAATACAGCATCACATTTTCGTGTCCAATATCTTAAATTAAGACATCTTGAAGACACTAGTTTTTCCACTGAAGTAACATAAAAAAGTCATGAGGAATCCAAACGAAGGGGGAATTTGTTATCCCGACACGAAGATAAGATAACTATTCATCGCCCCACAAGGTCCCCGATATTTTCCGAACTGTCAATCAGATTGTTTGCTCAAGTGTTCGATATATCCCGATATAAATCACGACAACGTGCAATGACAAAATCCCTGTGGCCTTTCGCACCCTTTGACAATGCCAACTGAAGATTATGATTTCCCCCCATGTCGTGAGCATGTCTGGAGGCACCGATAATTCGCGAAACTGTGATTGAATCTGAGGGAAATCGGCCGTACCCCTGAGCGGGCTTATCGAACCAGTCGTTATCCAAATATTTTTTTGCCCCCCCCCCCCGCACTGCGAACACTCGAATAAAAGGGAGAGGGCCTGAGTGATAGAGTGAAAAGGTTGTAATAGAGTGTTGGGGGAGGCCACGTGTGCCGATCGTGGATTCGAAACGCGCTCTCCATACACAGCGTGCAGACTCCAATTGAATAAATTCATTTTCCCCTTTCGTGATGCCAGATTAGGTAGAGCAGTTTTTTTTCCCTCCTTTTATTTTATTTCTCTGCCTCTTCGTTTTCCCTGACGGCGGTGCGCACTCGTACCAAGTTGGTACTGCTGCTGGCTTGATTCCAAGCGGCCGCAGTCGGCATATGGCTGACAAAGATTACGAGGGCCCCACCTCGGCCGTGTCCAATTC